TCTCCTGTGTTACGCCAGCCTAGAGGGAAAACTGCCCACGTATAACACCCGCATCGCCCTACCCCTTACTAGTCCCAAGGACAAGTTCTTCGGTCAGTACGGTCAGTACGGCAGGGAAAAGGGGCGGGGCTGGGGGGCCCAAGCAGAGCATTCGGAGGTGGTCGAAGGCCCCGCTCAGGGCTAAGGTGGAGGTGGGGTGGGGTGGCAAAGACTGAGCCAAGTCTGAGCCAAGGATGGGAAGCTGGATCCCCTTATTGCCTCCCCTCCCCCCTCCCCCCACCGCAGACGAAGAGGAGACTGAAGACGAAGACAACGACGTGGTGACTCGCGCGGAGCTCAAGATCCGTTCCCAGAAATTAATTGAATCCCGCAGCAAGAGGCGCAAACGCTCACGGAGGCCCTAGACTCACCCTCACGCTCATCTGTCGCCTCCCGGCCCCTTCGGAGCTCCTGACCCCTCTGGGCCCAGCTGCTGGCCCTCGGGGGCCCCTTCAAGGGATGAATGCGGCCCGAACAGGGAAGCAGAGCGGGCCAGCTGTGCCCGGAGTGGAGAAGAGGGCTGGGCTGCCAGACATTCCCACAGTAAATATCCCCAGGCGGCCGCGCCGGCCTTGGAATCACGCAATAAAGGTCACCGAGTAGCCCCCTGGGTATTCGCCTCTCCTTGACCCTGCACCGCCCCTCAAACCCAGGCTCAGCCTCCTCCAACTTGGAGTTTGATGACCCCCATAAGCCTGGGACACAGAACGGGCTCCCCTCACCCCTCCAGAGAAATGGGAAATACTCCCACACTTGGGCAGACCAGCCCTCCCCACCTGAAGACAGTGGACTCTCCATCTGGGCACACGGACCTGCCTCCCCACCTCACCCCCACCCCCGCTTGACTATACACACTAGCTCTGGTGCACCTGGGGACACAAAGAGCCCTCCCCTGGGAGAGAGAGGTGACCTTTCTTCTGGGTACAGATTAATAAAAATAGAGTCAGGACTTCACCCCCACGGGTCTGGACTGGGTGCTGGGGTCCAGCCGGGGGCATCTGAGAACCGCAGGTCCCCACCGCCCCGCCCCCGCGTGGCCG